AAGATCATCTAAGAGACATAAACATACCTGGGAGGATATTATTGAGATGTGTTTTTAGGAAAATGAGTATTAGTTGCTGACTGGGTTCATCTAGCTCAGGATAGGGACAATTGGTAGGCTCTTTGCCGTTTTGTGTTCCATGAAAGGCATGTTTTTACTAGCCGAGCCACTATTAGCTTCTCAAGAAGGATTATTGTAGTACGCTAGCCAGCTGGTTGGGTAGTTAAGTATACACAAAATAACATTCTAGCTTTGGCTTTGCAGTATTTGTACAGTGTTCATTGGAAACGATGAAATAAAATCCCCAAAACTTTATTTTTAACCAGCTAGTTTTACATGTAGGAGTATTTATCAGAAGTTCTAAAATCTTTTTAAAAAGACTCGCAAAAAGATAAGCATCGGTCAAGCTAACAGATGAAGTCCACCGAACGTCACCATCGACATATTAACACTCATGTTTCGTATTCGAGAGGTCAGAATTTGAGACTTCATTTGGAAACCTGTTGTCCCTACTGAGGTTTAAAGGCGCGTCCACATTACTCGTGCTCGTGTGACTCGCTATGCGCGCGCGTAATGTGGACGATATGACAAGTCACGAGACAAGCAAATTTTTAATTTTTAAATTAAAAACTATAGCCAATAAATTAAAATACGACTACAGCCTATCCACACTACGAGTAAATATACGGATTCTTACGCGCCGAAGCCTGGCGGGTAACTGAAGTAGTGTGGACGAAGATTTACGAGCAGAAGTAAAAGCCAGACGAGCACGAGCACGAGCACGAGCACGAGTAATGTGGACGCGTCTTAACTCTGTTAACTCAGACTCACCATGTGTATTCATGATGGTATTTCAACAGTTTTGTTCCATTTCCTTCTATTCGTTCTTTCTTTCTTTCTTTCTTTCTCATCTATAAATCGGCGCTGTGTAATCTGAGAAGATTTGCTTTATTAAACCACAAGTTGCATTTGTGTTAAGAAAGGTGACCAGTGAGAAATTGAATGCAGAGTTTTAGAAAGCAGTGGCTTATGTTCTTCTCTTACAGGCTGTTAGCATGTAGACTAGAATATATTAGATAAAGGACATAAAGTTGAGTGGTTATCCAAAAAGGATAAGGTATGTGACATGTTTCAAAGCAGTACCAATGAAATTGTTCAGCGGGACCTCTCAGATATTCTGCATTTGCAGTTATGCTATTTATATTCGTTCTTTATGGCATAGAAAATGTGTTTTCCGGCAGGAAAATGTCCCTTCTCAAAGCTTGCGAACGACCCATTCTGAGTATTTAGTAACTACTGTAACCATAATTTGTAGTACATAAAGAAGTAGGCAAATCGTCAATTTGAATGTTATATGAATCATCAGTCATTCAGGAAAATTACGAAAATACTTTTCAGTCAATTCATTTTCAGTTTTTTTTTCTTCCAATGACTCTTCCAGCCTATTGAGGGTTTGGGGGCACGCGGTTGCGTAGTTGGTTGAGGGGCAATGCTACAAGCCGGAAGGTCGCGGGTTCAAGTCCCGATGAGGTAATTGGGTTTTTTAAATTGAACTAATCCTTCCAGCCCTGGGGTCGACTCAGGCTCTAACAGAAATGAGTACCAGGAATTAATTAAATAATTTTTCTGGGGAGTAAAGCGCGGCCGGCGCGCAAGGCCGACAATCTTACCGCCATATTTGAACCGATTTTCTAGATAATGTGGGACCATCAACGTCTCACACGGTCTCACAACCCTATGGGCGTTCACAGCCTGGTACAGGGATAGCTTTACTTTTTTTTACTGTGAATCGTAAAATGGCGTGTGCTATCTTAGAACTGTTTCATTGCGTTGGTAACAGCGAAATATTTGAAACTTAGGTTATCATCCTGTTAATTATGTGTATGTTTCTTTATAATGGTCTTTGGACCCATTTAGCTCGCCACAAAAATTACTCATTTTAGCAAACCATTGATATCAACCATATCAACTATTCACTGTACATGAAGTTATGTCGTCGACATTTTCGGGCTACAAGCTTTCTCGGTTCCTCGTCCTGCCACCAGCCGCGCCACAGCATGGGAACCCACTGCCAGAGATGAATCATAGCTTGCAGGCCTGCCCCCGGGCGCGTTCAGTGGCACCGATGCTTTGGATAATCGACGTACGGAAAGTAGAGGGTTTATGTCTAAACTGCAAGCGACCAGTTTGTTACTGAAGTGGTCCAGTTAGGTTATGTGGTACTCACTAGCTCACTAGTCTCAGTAGAGTGAAATCTGTAATAAAGTAGAAAAGATGAGGTGCTGGGGACGTTTATTTTGTGCAGATTACCCGCATCTTGAAAGTAAAACGGCAGTAAATAAAAAACTACGTAAGTAATAAAATATGTCATTGGAGATAGTAGGCGAATATGGATAGTGCAGTAATAGTGAAAATTTTAAGAACATGACCGTAGTCCTCTACTATAAACTCGTTCGGTACGGTTGTTAATCCTTGAACACTGATGAAATGTGGGAAGGTTGCCAAATAAAAGTAAAGAAACCGCGGAATTCAAACGTTTCTTGCAAGTGCCACTGTTAGAAATCTAAAAAAAAAAAAAAAAAAGTGCTGTTCGTAATTGATTCATGTTTGAGACAAGTCGGTCAGTGGAAGAAATTTATTCCGAAATATCAGCAAAGGAATGTAAAGTGAGTTCGGGTGGAATATGTCTGTTCGGGTCAAACCCATGCTACACGCGGCCACTTCTCATGCATTGTCAACATAGTGAGAAATTTATTTTATGCCAAGATAGGCGGTATGTTTGCGGGAATTATGGGCAGAAGCATTTTGAGTCTATTTTCTGCATTGATATGCAGTATTGTATGTACTGTAGTATAGATGTAGTGTTGTAAAAAGTCACGGTTTGTACATAATACTCAAGCACATGACTTCTGGAACACTTTCACCTACAGATGTTGTGGATATTTCGGTATGGCATATTTTCATTGCAAATAACTTACTTGCTCATGGAGCTGAGCCCTTCTTGAGGAGCCGCCAATTCTGCAGCTCCTCAAGAATTTCCCAGCATTTTATTTAACCCGAAGGTTCATTACCGTGTCCACAAGAGCCCTCTACTGGTCCCAATCCTGAGTCAGATCAATCCAGTCCATACCACCCCATCCTATCTCTCTAAGATCCATTGTAATATTGTTCACCCACCTACGCCTTGGTCTACGCAGTGATCGCTTTCCTTCTGGCATTTCCACCAGTACCATGTATGCATTCCTCTTCTCCCCTATTCGTGCTACATGCCCTGCCCACCTCAGCCTCATTGCATATAAGACAAATGGAATGTAAGGACAGGTATTTCACCAGTAATGAGATCCTGAAGGTATGTCTTGTGCAGTTATTTCGGTATAAATCGGGACTGGAGTAAGGTACCAGCTTCCGAAATGTTTTAATGTACCTCGTCGGACACTGTAACTGTACAGTATTTGAGAAAAGACGAATTCACTGTTCCAAAACTTGGCCGAAAAGCCAAATGTGGATAGAAACAGAAGACAGGTATGGGAAATGGCTAAATGTACAGTAGTGATGTGGCTTTGGGCTTCCAGGCGTGAACTGAGGTTTCGTGCGTTTGTGGATTCCATGGAGATGTTCTTACGTACAGATTCAGTAGAATTGTTGTCCCTGGGCATAACTAATGAAGTATGGAAGGGGGGGGTGGATGTGTAGATCCACATTTTCTTAACCTCGGCATTAGTTGGAGGTGAGTGATCATGTTCACGCCCCGGCCGCTTTACATCCAGGGAAAGAGCCCCCGGTACACATAGGAGGATAGGAAGCTGGGTGGGCCCCAGTACCGGTCTGAAGGATATGGAGGAGAGAAAATTCTTGACCCTACCGGGACTCGCACTCCTACCCCTCGGTCGTCCAGCCCGTACCCAGTCGCTATACCGACTGCGCTATTCCGGTTACTAACAGATTCAGTAAGACATGGAGAGACTGGACGAAAAGGAAAAAGAAGAAGAGTTTCTGTTATGATCGTGGCAGCTGAAAATACGTTTAATTTTGGGGGAAAATACTTCATGCTGAATATGTCAACTTCCCTCTGGTAGGTTTATCATCATAAGTGATGGTGATTATATAAATTCGAGATCCTTTTAGTACCTTCAGACACCCGCTGTTACCGTGTAAAACTGCCAATGAATTTTGAGAATATAGGGTTCGAAGAGGGGTGATTATGAAAAGTATCTTCAAGGTTTTCTACTAGTCACTTGCTTGGCTTACTCTTCGACCTTGCAGGTGAAGGCGGTACGTCCGTCATGCACCAAATTAATTCGCAGATTGTGCAATGAAAATACGTCTAAAAGCTGGAAAAGGGTTTTAGCAAGCGGCTTACGATTATTAACGAATAGAAAACTGGTGACCTCGTTTAAGAATCGGTGTTATAATGCGTTTGAATACATTATCTAGTATTCCACCAAGTCCAGATTATTTTGCTGAAAATTCAAAATAGATGGACTCATGCTGAATAATAAAGCGATTTTCATTCCTGCAGAATCCTTCCTTGCTGGCTATTATTTTATAACCGGTAACTAACCGGCAGAACATTCAGAGCAGCCGCCTCCTGTTTTCCTTTCTGCTTTCCTTTTTCGTTTTCGTTTTTTGTACGTTATTTCTTCTTCCTGCATTTCACGTTTATCTTTACCTTTATTTCGTTATCTTTCCATCCTCCGTTTATTCTTCTTTGTCTGTTTCTTTATTGTTTTCTTGTACTCTTCAGCCTTTTTTCGTTTTTTATGTCTTGCTTAATCCTCTCATTTTCTTTCTCAGACCCTTGCTCTGTGTTCTTTATCTATTTAGTTATTTATTTCGTGTAATTTTAAGATCGTCGGCCGAAGTCTTCTAAGGCGATTGGCCTGGAGGTGCAATGAGTAGTGATATTCCCAAGGTTTGGCTAGTGAGTGCATACGTCACGTTTGGCAGCTGGCCAGTGACAGCACGTTTCGATGTGACTGTTGCTTTCGTTCCACCGTGCACAAGAAGTGAACATCAGTCTGCGGTCGGCCGCTGTGCCTGGGTATCCATGGCTGAACTTCGAGTTTTCAGTCTTCTTCGTAGAACAATTAGAAGAGGTAGAATTAGTGTAGTGACGGTATTGTTGTGCTTGTGGCAGTGTGTCATGACTGCGTAGTTTTGCTACACCAAGATAAGTTTATCTGTGTCATTTCGTGTGACACTTCCAAGTTATTGGCTGTGATCTGTTGACTGTATCATAGAGGAAATAAATAGTAACGCGACTTCCTCTTATAGGCACCACGACGTATAAACACCCTGGTAAGTCCATGAAGTTGCATCTTCTATGTAACGTGGACAGAAGAAGTCACTGATTCATGCTGTAATTGACGCGCACAGTTACGCAATGACAGAGTATAAATAAAACTGTTCCAATATCGTCTTTTGGAGGTCAGTTTAACCCTTTGAAGTACGTTGAGGAACTATACCTACCACCTGCTTTTACCAAGTAACATATCATTAGACATTACATAGACTCAATACTGTTAGCTCCGTAAAACTAAAAAGTTTAAAACATTCAAACGGTTCTACGTTATTGCCGCAAAATATACGTATTGCGTTGGATTTTGGAAACAAACAGCGGTTATATCTCGAAACAGTTATCAATCGATTTTTGTTTTCTGTGAAGTAGGAACTGATTCTATAAAATATTTTCATGCACTTTCCCTATTTGATGATCCTTACCACTTGTCTTACAAATCAGTGAACATCGTTATAACTGTGTGGTTGGGGGAACAGGTGTATTATAGTATTTTTTTATTATTACTTTGTGGGGTGGGACTGAGTCCACTTGGTGCTGAGGCCACTTCTGGCTAGCCCCAGATGATAGGTGAGGGTGATTATGGAGCAATTGGTGGAATGAAGATTGGCAGGGGAAACCGAAGTACTCGGAGAAAACCTGCCCCAGCGCTACTTTGTCTACCACAAATCCCACTTGACCAGACCCGGGATCGAACCCGGGCCGCCGCGGTGGGAAGCCAGCGACTAACCGCTTGAGCTATGGCGCGACCTTATATTAAAGTGACATTTCGGGTCTCGACAAGCTTTTATGTTCCATTCCGTAAGAGACCGGGAATACACATTTCAGTCTTTGAAGTATTTGCACTGCTGTTCACTGGGGACAAATTAGACATGTGCTTCGTCTCGGATTGTTGCAGTGCATAAGAACCCACATTAGCTGAACTAATTTTGGTCGTTACTAAGAGATATCCCACTTGATGCACCTGAATGTTGTTTTAAGAACCGATTGTTCATATTAAGAGTCCTCTACTAATATTCGATAATTAATTTCGAGTCACCCCCTGTTAATTTGTTCGTATTTATATTCAAAACGTTAAAAGGCAGTGGAACATTCAACAGATATTGCATACGCGAATGAGAAGTCTGTGAAAAAACGTAGAAGATGAAGCAAACAAGTTCTGTGGGGTGAAACGAAATTCGTGCACGAACTCTCCTTGGTGTGTTTTCTTGTTAAACAAGAAGTTCTGGTAGATTCTAAAGGGTTCTGACAGTGGTGGATAACACACAGAATTACTGGGTTTTTGGACTTTTTCCATCGTCCAGAATTCTAGGAAATAGAAAACACGACGTTTCGGAAACGGATCTGTTTCTGTCTTCAGGCGAGGAAGGAATATACCTACTCAGTTGGGCCCCCTAGAAAAAGCTAATCTCAATCACTGGACTCCAGTTTTAGAAACGTCGTGTTTCCTATCTCCTAGAATTCCGGACGATGGAAAAAGTCCAAAATCCTAGTTATTCTGCAAGAAGTTCTGGGATGAACTAATCGCGTACTTGCGTTTGATACGACATGGACCGCATTGAACACAAAAATATTGGGGGGTGGGGGCAGACACAGCGAGAGCAAGATGATATCATAAACCTCCCAACAAAAATTACGGCGGACACACACACACACAGCAAGGCGATCTCATAATTCTAACGAAAATTAGGGGGGATACACAGACAGACGGACAGACACAAACGGATACATAGACAGCAAGGCGATATCATAATTCTAAAAAAAATTGTGGGGGATACATAGACGGACAGACACAAACGGATACACAGACAGCAAGGCGATCTTATAATTCTAACGAAAATTAGGGGGGATACACAGACAGACGGACAGACACAAACGGATACATAGACAGCAAGGCGATCTCATAATTCTAACAAAAATTAGAGGGGGATACACAGACAGACGGACAAACACAAACGGATACACAGACAGCAAGGGATCTCATAAGTCTCCTTTTTTTTTTCAAAATAAAAATATGAAAAATAGAGTTCAGTCTGTTATACAACTTGTGTCCTGTGACTCTTAGTTTTCGAGATACACGTCATGAATTACGCTGTCAGTACTACACATGTTCTAAACACCCGGCACACTTAACAATTGAATTTGTGCTTCTGCGCGGGAATATGCGCTGCGTTATCATGATGCGCTAATGTGTTTAAGCGATTCGAGCAATTTCTCCGTGATAAGGAAGTTTAACACACTTGAATTCAGGTCACACTGCATCCGTGAAACGAAGGCCATGAAGAACCGCTAGCAATACCGCACGAGAATTGGGACTACCCAAACTGAGGGCCCTCGAAGTACTTCACGACGATCGCGGAGCGCACATCTATCTCCAGACGATCGTCCTCTACGGATACGAATCTGCGAAAGGCTACATCATCATCACACTGTGGATGAGCTCTTCTTACATAGCATCCTGTGGACAGCCAGACGAAACATACGTTACGCCTCAGAATGTGTTCACTCTTGGGCAAGGAGTAATCCTCATGCACGAATGTGAGTATCGAGTTTGGCCAGAAGCCGTCGGAGACATTGTCCTGGACCCCTGTTCTATTTTTTTTTTACACTACAGGTTTACTGCTCAGCGATACTGTGATTTTCTGGAAACTCTACTACCGGGACTGCCTGAAACAGAGGTGGTTTCAGCGTGATGGTGCCCGAGCTCACTGTGGGGAGAATGTCTGGCAGTGCTTGAACGATACATATGAAGGAAGGTGGATTAGACGTTAAGAGCCGATGCCCTCCTCGGTCTCCGGATCTGACTCGATGGATTTCTTGCGGGGACAACTGAAAGAGCACGTTTATGCAGACCCTTCCAGGAATATCTAAGATCTTGTGAAACGCCTTCAAGCAGGTGTGACAGCAGCCGATGCCAACATTTTTAGGCGCGTTCGAGAGAGTGCCGTGCGGCGCACTGCCGTCTGACTTGAAATTGACGGAGGCTGCCTCGAACAGCTATTGTAACTACGAGGCGCCCATGGTTTGATCATTTAATAGCTTACACCATTTGATGGTGACGGGTATCTTGAAAACTGAACATCATAGGACATATGTTGCATAGTATTTTCGATTGTTCTTTTCGAGGGAGCAGCCACACTATGGAGAACTTGTGCACAAATTTCGTTTCACTCTGTGTATATAACCTTTTAAAGGAAAGTGTTTACTATTGTGTTACTTTCTTGAACCCTGACGATCCCTGCAGTTTGCTCACAGACTGTATTTGTGAGTTTCATAGGATTTATAAAACTGCAATTATTTCCCAAAATATCACGAACTTGTTGCTATTCATACTGAGGACGCAATGTATTTTCTGTAAACGAGGAATGTGTGTGGTTTATTTTACTAAGCTGTCAATATTGCAGGCTACATAGGGTTCACTGGTAGGAAGCGGTCGTGGCATAATCGAGGTATTGTATTTACATTTTCCTAGAAAACCGCGAGGGATCTCAACCAGGACAGGCGGTGTCCCGGCCAATGTTCGATTCAAGCATTTCTCGTATACGAGTCCAGAGCGTTACCGCTATATCAACCTGCTCGGAGAAGAAGAAGAAGAAGAAACTGAACTTGGAACATTTAGCTGAATTTCAGGCTTCAGAGATTAAGCATAAAATTTTGACGCATGAAAAGCCATTATTGATAGCTGGTATACTCTTGAGATAAGTTCTGCGTTTCTTCACAGCACCGCTATTGATTTCACTGCACTCGCCTGTTGTCTAGACTTCTCAGCAGCACACTGAACCAGATTCGAAATCGACTGACAAATTAACTCGCTGACGCAATGACTGCGCTGACTGAATACGACTGACTGATTATTTACGATGCTCTGAGCTACGCGGAACAGAACTTTATAATGAGGAGCTTCATAACTTGTACTCTTCTCCAAGTATAATTAGAATGATCAAGTCAAGGAGGATGAGTTGGGCAGGTCATGTAGCACGAATGGGGGAGACGAGGAATGCGTATAGGATATTGGTGGGAAAGCCAGAAGAGACCACAGGGAAGACCAAGGTGTAGGTGGGTAGACAATATTAGAATGGATCTTGGAGAGAGAGGATGGGATGGTGTGGATTGGATAGATCTGGCTCAGGATAGGGACCAGTGGAGGGCTCTTGTGAACACTGTGATGAACCTTCGGGTTCCATAAAATGCTGGGAAATTCTTGAGTAGCTGCAGAATTGGCGGCTCCTCAAGAAGGGCTCAGCTCCATGAGTAAATAAGTAAGTGGGGCGGGACTAAGTCCCTTGCACTGCGGCCACTTCTGGCCTATTGTACGAGCCCCAGATGGTAGCTGAGGGTGATTGTGGAACAATTGGTGGAATGAAGATTGGCAGGGGAAACCGAAGTACTCGGAGAAAACTGCCCCAGCGCCACTTTGTCCACCACAAATCCCACTTGCCCAGACCAGGGATCGAACCCGGGCCGCCGCGATAGGAAGCCAGCGACTAACCGCTTGAGCTATGGCGCAGCCCTGTAACAGAACTTAGCCTACTCGCCTGCACATTCGTACAGTGGGACAGAAACGTCTAGTTATGCGACAGATATTGTCCTGATCCACACGGCTGTGTTGTGAGGGTGTGAGAGGGTAAACACATGTAATTCTTTTCATGACACTGTGCAGTGCAACTTGTCTGTTACCGGAGGATTTACGTATTATGTGAGTGTCAAGAAGAGTAAAACTTGCAGAACGACATTCGTCTACCTTTCCGACTGTACTGTGGAGGAACTGGAAGGTGAATTTGACTGAACGTGCCAATTATACGCGAGGCTGACATTCCTAAATGGAAATATATACTGCATGCCGACCATTTCTCTGGTCTTCTTCAGTTTCCTGTTTATTGTGTAATTATTAAATTGGTCTTTGTTGAATTCATAGTGTGTACGCATGTCATTACCACTTTTGTCACAGACTGTGACGGTGAATAATAAAAGAGGCGATTTTGAACACAATATAGGGCAGATA